CAACCATATCGTAGTGGAAACGCGCACGTCACGAGTCATGAACGATTGCTCCGCCGCTTTTCGCTTCCAAGGGCCGCACGAGGCATGCGCCTGGTGCAGTAGAGCATTTGACGCCACTTATAAAAGAAGTGCATCAATGGACCGATCTCGCCCATTCGTTTCACTACGCCACCGCTGCTCCAATGCATCGAAGGAACTTTAGTCTTTCTACATATGCAGCAACCTCGCTGGAGCTCTTCGTGTGTAGAGCCATGGTCGAGCACGAGGGGGCATAAGCGGTCTGGTGCACTGTCGCCTGCCTCCTGTGAACTTATGGTGGCGTCACGCATGCGCCGAAAGATTGGTGAGATCGGTCTAGTAAGGGCCACCTAACCACCTTGATAGAAATGACACCATGGGATGTTTCTCACTTCAACTTCCGTATTGAGGATGTGCGCACATATTAATATTTAGTAATTTAAATAATTAATTTGTGTTATGTAAACAATTTGGCCGTCGCAAAAAAAAAATATATATATATATCGTGACTCTTCTAAAAAGATCCTGAACCAGAGCCGGCCCTACAGCCCCCTGGGCCCTAGGCAAACTCCGACCGCAACATCCCCTCCCCCCCCCCCCCCCCCCACACTTTTTTTTTTCGACGTTTTTATTTAATAGGTACGGCGTCACGTTGTTAGTAAACATGTGAGTAGGGGCTCAACATGAGCGTTTTGTCAGACGAAAACCGCATTCCAAAAATGGGCGCCGTGTTCAAATAAATGGGAGCTAAAAAAAAATCAAAAGAGGGGGGGGGGGGGGGGGGGGGCTTTTGATGGCGCCCTAGACGACCGCCCAGGTAGCCCACCCCTAGGGGAGGCCCTGCTCTGAACAATACTGCGTTGGTCCGACACACGTTGTTTTTCGTAAGTATAGATTTTTTTACTTCTATAGTCCGCAGATTATAGTGCTTTTGTATATTCATTGGTTCCCACAGGTCATGAGATGGTTCCGTCGTGCTCGCAAAGCATGTGAAGATCACTAATGCACATCACTGAAACTGAATACAGAAAAGATTAGCAGCCCTCGGTCCAGACAGCTGCTTCCAAGACCGCTTCCCTAGCAAGAGCTTGCACACAGGACTGGCGCCTTCTAGGGCCTTGACCTCACGCGTGTAGCGTATCCTGTGCTCGAAGCTTAGGTCAAATGAAACGTAGGCGTGCGCGTGCGGCGCCGGCGTGGCACTCGAATCTCGCGGTCACTAACCGAAACGATACTGCACGTGGCGCCACCTGGAGGATGGAAGTATAACTAAGTCGAGCCCGTTTTCGGATGAACGCATAGTGAACGCATACGCATTGTTGCAAGAAAGTAAAAAAAAAAAAAAATAATGCATAGTGTATTTTATAAAAATAAACATACTATAAACATTGTACCTACCCTCAGTGCTGATGCCACGCGCAAAGCAAAAGCCACCGGGAAAAATTCATAGATTTTTCGCAGCACATTCGCCCCATAGAATCCAGCCTTTAATTTATTGCTCTTTCTGTGGTTTCATTAGTTAGTTCCATCTTTCAATATGTTTTGTTCGTACACACGTTTGTTCGGGACGCTTTTCGATATTACTATATTTGACATATGCAGTGATGTGATTGGCCCGAGTCATTTTAGAGCACCTTTTTTAGCAGCCAAAACTTCATTTTGTAGCAGCAAAAAGTATTTCTAGAGCATTTGCACGCACTTAATTTCTACTCATACCACTACGAATATCATACGTTAAGATTCTTGTGTTGGCCAATCAAAGTAAAAGACGCGCCTACTTTAACTTTTCACTTCTGTGTAACATTTCGTTAGCATCAACTGCACCGCAGATTTGATTCTCTCAAAAACAAAAATAGCTGTTTTGTAGCAAGCACTAGGCATGGCAACAAGATGGTGCTGTGAATAGTTATTGTATAGGTGTGAAATAAAATGTAAACCAAACAGTATATTCCTTTGAAATAATGTTAGAATAATTTTCAGCACACAAATTGATGTTTCATTAAAGTTCTAAAGGTTGTAATAAAATTGAAATTCTTAGTTCAGATTTAAAAAAAAAAAGTCATTGGATTATAAACATAAACGACGTTTTATACGTAGAACTTCATGATAACAAAAATCGGCATGTGAATGATAAATACACCTTTTGAAGACAATCCAGCCGAACTGGCTAAGGTTATTCCCAACCTTCCTTCCTGCAGATTCATCTAATTTAGTTTTAGTTCATTTCATGGACTGTACCTCGAACACGTAATACCTGTTTAAAGACGGTAATTAAACATAATAGTTCAAATTAAGAATACACCTATAGGAGGAGTTCGTATAAAGTTTGTTGTAAGTACCCTGCGCCAGAACGTCGCCATCTATCATAAATAATAGCAGCAGTTTTATTCAAAATTTTTACCGCAAAGTAGAGTTGGTACATTCGCACTCCCAAAATTTCTCTCCCTTTTTCTTCTTCAGAACGAGATAGGCAGAATCGCCATGCTTACTTCGCGGTTGTTTCACTGCGGTACACAAGAGAGCGGTGAGAAGCGCACTCAACGGCAGACTGCGAACGTGATGATATTGCGAATATTCCGAGTACTGCCAGTGTTTGACAGAGATATCAAATCGAACAGTTCGTTATATGCGGCGATAGTCGAAAGTTCTAAATGCAGTCAGGCACACCAATCGCATCACTGCATATGCTTCGGTTTTATTCAAAAATAAAGAAGTTAAACGAAGAACTTCCGAAAACAAACGTGGTTTTTCTTTCTGCACCGCTTATGTGTCGGTCAACCTACACATAAACGCTATCCAAGATTTGTACTCTATTCCTTACAAGTAATCAAATTACCTGTAATGGATTACTTTTTGAGGTAATTTTGTGATCATTTGGATATTTTTATAAGTAATCACGAGAGTAAACTGAAGTTGCTTCTGAAAGTACTAAAATTGCTGGTAAGTTGTAACTGTTATTATTTTCCCTTCACTTTTCTAATGACATACTTTGTTTCTACAAGCTGCCTACCAAGGAATCATTGAAGTCTCCGACAGGTGGAAGGTTTACCAAAATCGGTGGATTGAGATGAGTAATTTGAAAATCGGTGTTTCCTTGAATCTAATCAAATATGATGGAAATTACGTAAGACCCATTTTCAAACCGTTGTTTTGTAAATCTGAATTGGAAAAGTAACGGTTACTTTTCCAAGGGCCGATTATTTACTTTTCAAGTAATCGAATTGAATATGTTGAATCAAGAAAACTTGTAATTGTAATCAATTACTCTTTTTCGAGTAACTTGTACAACACTTGCAATTCACTATGCCTAGGGACAGCTTCAATCGGTGTTCAAGGTGCAAGACTCCATTCAGAAGTATGTTTCAAGATTACAGTGATGGAAGTGGCATTTCTTTGACTTTTGTAGCAGGTTCTTTAGAAGGCAAAATATTGGTGTGAAGCAGCCGCTGACGCTTTTGGAGCAGATGCCAACATCTGTTAGCACATCGCTTGAGAATGAAAAAGTGATTGCATCTCTAATTCAGTTCATTTACGATAGTGATCAAGGGTTCCTCTTCGATACTCAAGCATATTTCTTATTACCGTTTGTGGGGAAGCTCGATGCGCGCTCACTGGGGAGAGGAGGTTAACAGCGAGCGGCGCAAGTGCCACGCTACTCTGCAGCAACGAAACGAAGGCATGCAAGACATGATAATGAAGTAATCCTATCAGAAATACCTGGTTCTGCTTTATCACAGTAGCCACAATCGGCAATCCTACTATTTTGCAGATTTCTCAGGACACTTACGGTAGGTCATGACATCGACGACATCGGCTGGAAATTCAGACGTCGGTGGTCAACCTGCCAGCGCATCGACGGCCCTGACCGGTTGATTCGTCGCACCAAAACGCGACATCATAGCATGTGTTCTTTCATTGGCTAAACCTATCAAGTACAGCGAATGTCCCGCGACTTGTGCTTTTATTATGTGTGTTCGAGCCTTCAATTGTGCTCTCTCTGACCCAAGACGAAACAAACTATAAGGCGAGTAGAGGCGCTGCGAAATTCATATTTGTAGAATTTTTCTTTCCTTCTAATTTGAATATAAGGATAGACCAATAATAAAACATTTTTTTAAGGCGCTTACGTGCCCATTACGTGAAAAAGCGGCGGCGTTGTGGTTGAAAGATGGTCACACCAATACGTCAAGCACGCGCCTGATATCAAACGCAAAAAGCACAGCAACACAAAACGTTTCTTCACAGAAGCCGGCGGGGTTCGCCGTGCCTGCGCAGTGGGGGAACGCTGTCACCTCTGGAGCGCCGTGCGAAAAAGGAAGACACGGCGAGCTGCTTGCGTATAGCTTGAATGTAAACTGCTTGCGTGAGATTCCTACACGTAAGCAGTTTTAAGTCTGCCAAATTTTGTTTTTGCTTTAAGTTTATCTCGACACGGGTGTGACGCAATTCTTAGCGCAATTGGCATAAGATGTAGCAGACTTTTGTTCATGGCACAATTTGGCACAGCACTTCCATCACCGAGATTATTCCATCTGTATACAAGAAACCAATTGTTTTGTTCAGGCTGTACCACTCCAAGCTCCTTGCTTTGGATCATGCCTGGGCTGCACAAGCGCTTATGCCGAGGGCACTAGCGACTCTAGAGGACACCAGTCACAACTACCCACTCGCTCCTGTACCCACCGATCTGTTTGTGGCAAGGTGAGACAAAGTATTGCATAGTAGTGTTGTCTTTGAAGCAACGCAACGAACTTGCAATGAATAGAGTTCATCAGCAAATGCCCTAGCTGACCACAAAAATGCTGGGGAGGAAGGTGAATCTCTCCTCACTGACCCTCAAGTGGATTCACGTTGCCCAAAACCACGCAGTCCGAGGACAAAAACACAATTCAGATTTTTATAATCATCGCCCAATGTATCAGTAGGCAACACAGTAGATTGAGCATGTATAATCATTATAGCAGAAAAAAAAAGGGAACACATACGATACAAAGTGCTTTATTATAGTTGACATGCGTGTACATGTGAGAAATAAAACCAAGAAAAGAAATATGATATTCCCACAGACAATCACAGAACATTCAAGTTTGCTTTTAGCTTGTACCTGAACCTTTTGATGTGTTATGTTGTTTTGCCTGAAACACATGAGCAAGAAAAGGTGCCGCACTCTTGGTTAACGCAACATTTCTAGGTCTAATTACCTCAACCTTAGGATATCTGACCGCCACTTTGGAAAGTTAACCATCAGTTCGATTATGAGTGTCCTGACATAAAATACAAAACTCGAAAGAAAGGAAAATGCTACAAAACACCCGGCACGAGTATGAGAAGGGCATCTACGCAAGATGGTCGTGCGAGCCGGGTGAGGACAGTGGTGAGCTCTCCAGTTTGAGACAAACTACGAGGCGGAAGCTTCGAGTTCGGTCGCGGGTGTCTCCTGTTCCTCGTCATTGTAGATGTTTTCGGCCTGCAAAGAAAACAAAAGGAAGCAAGCGTTGAAGTTCAGCTGTGGTGAATGCACCATGATAAAACAAAAAAACAGAAAATTATTTCATTTTGGTGGCTCTGCAGATAAATCTAATTTACAAGTGTATGGGAAAAAAAGGAGAACCATGCTTTTCCCTCCGCAAAAATAAACCATGTATCGCCAAACGCCCGATCTCGTCCCAAACAACGCTCGTAAAATAAAACGCTGATAAATTGAATTCAACGATCCACAATTCAGCTCATCCGCTAACAGGCACCAGGAAGAAGGCGCACACCAGTTGTTGATAACAAAGAGGCAGATGTCTATTTAACAAATAAGGCACCCACCTTCATGAAATAACTATAGTTTTTGCTGCCATACACCTACTAATCTGGGTCTATTTGTGGGATAGGACTACATCTTGGGAAGACTCACCATCTGCCAGACTTGCATTATGTTGTCTTCTGAAACCGAACAGATGACCCAGGGTTCGTTGGGGTTCCACGAGAAGTCCGAGATTTTTGCTGTGTGTCCTCCATGGATGAACTGTCGTGGTGAAAAGAGACACAAGGGAAGGACGACTGTCAGGACGATAATCAGAGTGAAGACAAGACGTAAGAGCTTTTTCTCAAAAGATCCACATGGCAATGAATCTAAAGAATCTGCTACAGTTGACTCCGGATAATTCGAAGTGGAAGCAACTCTTATGCAGCGATTTATTTCACATGGACTTTCACGCCTGCAGAATACTACAGTTCAATCTCACTCCTATGTTCATGATCGATACACTCTCCCGGCTGTTATGCAAAGAAACTGCGGAGTAGGGTAGGATCCCCATAGTGAACCCTACCATACTTTGCAGCTCCCGTTCTTAGGCAGTGCAGGGATGGAAAAGAGAAGGGAGCAGCTAGCACACCCCTTAACCCCTCCCTCTCTGACTTGTGCCATTGGTTGGGCAAGCTACGCCATCAATCTGAGAGCTGCGCTCTGTTGCCGACGCTCTTTCCCACGGCCCCGCTACGGTGCCATTAACACAAGCAAACAAGGTTCGAACAGGGTTCAAGTTAGAGAGGTGCCCACCAGGAGTTCGGGGGGCCCGTCCTCGGCGTCCTCGGCGGACTGCTCCTCGCCAATCTTGCTCAGGTCCCAGACGTGGAGGCGCCGGTCCGTGCCGCTCGAGGCCAGGATGGTCTCGTTGTGGGGCGACCACTGCACCTGGAAGATCTCGTCCTTGTGCGACTCAAAGGAGTGCAGCTTCAACTTCAGGTTGCGCAGGTCCCACAGGGCCACCGTCTGCACACAGCCAAAGGGCGAGGGAGAAAAAAATTTCTCAAACAATGCACTTGGCTAAAGCACATGGTAAATATTGGGCATACAACATTTTATGCACAAATATGGCGAGAATATGATAAAACCTCATTGATGCATTCTTGGCCGAGGCACTTTTCCGGCAGTTACACCTGCAAACATCGGTCATCTTCACATAGGAATAGTTGTGGCTAGTTATAACAACCATAACAATTATAATAAACGTCATTAATAATGTTTTACTTTCCACCATCTAAATGTAAATGCTAGAAGGGGATTGAGAAAAAACCTGCACAAGTGCAACTCAACGAGCTTTTGGCACTTCCATTCCCCCAAAAAAGTCCATAATGTGGGCCATCCATAATAACGCGTCAAAAATTCCATGTTTTTACCCAGTACGCCCCTGAAAGATTTGTCTATAGACCAACACGCGGCCCTGACGTCACGCAGCTGCGGTGGCGCTGTCGACGGCACGGTGCATGCGCAGAAGTTTCACTTCACGCGAATCCGGTTTCTTCGCAGGCGCAGTGCCCACACCTGGTGTGGGCAAACGCGGGCTTGTTTCTAAACAGCGTGTCGGTTTATATGTATCAGGGGTCTCAAACATGCGGCCCACGGGCTGCATGTGACTTGCTGGGGTGCGGCCCTCGAGACTCAAGCGGCTGCAAACCCCCGTTCCAATGTCTTTAGTGCTATATCCATCATCAATTATGGTTTCTTGTCGTCGGTTCATTAACGCTCGAAACATAGCTCTGCTCTTTTATAACATACTTATATATTTTTCTCTATTCCATTTTCTTTTGGACCGACTATTAGTTTGTCTTCGTTTTTGCTTCTCGGCTCTTACTCATTTTGCTCGCCTGTCAGACTATTCACTACTATGCTACAAGTGCGAGCTCTTTAGGATGCACCTTGACTGCACAAACTCTTGCTCAGCACGATCAACTTCCAAAAAGATAAAGCTATCAACTCTGCTTTCTAGCGGTCAAGAAAAACCATTAAAATATAGATTGTTTTATAATGCTGCTATAAATATTGTCAGGAAAGCAAAAACTCCTGTATGAAGGTTTTCTTCTTCTCAGACGTATGTTGAATTTGAATAGTGCTTTCCGTGTGAATTCATTGACAAGCAGCAACAGTGTGCTCGCTCTTTTTCTTTAAACAAAATGCAAGCATGTCAGCGATGCGCTACAATTTTAAGTCTTGTTATGGGCCTAAAACAGTCACATAAAAAAATGAAAGCTAAGGACATCACCACTAAAAGGGAGAGCTTACGAAAAGCAGAGTGCATGAGGTCCCATCTCTAGGAAATCTCATACGTGCAGCTGAGAGGCTTGGCCACTTCACAAGTTTACACTTTATAACCCACTCCAGTCACTTTTGAGGGTGGGTTATCTGGTCCCTAAACTGAAACGAGATTGAGACCCCTGGCCTATATAGAGCGGCACCCATATTAAGCATTTTGTACTCGCATGCGCATCTACAGGATCCGATTGAGAAAAGTAAACCCTACTTTTCGGCCCGCGTAAAAAGACTATGCATCGCAGAACGCTCAAACTCCGCCAAAATGTAACCCTAGCGGTCCCAGCAAGATACCAAAGTTTCAGAACATGAGCTTACCTGGATCAAAAGATAAAAGAAAAAAACAAGAAATCTCTACGGGGAGGCTCCGACCACGAAGAGACGCAGACGGAGGCCGTCTGCTTTGCATTGCATCGCATAGGTGGCGCCACCACCTATGTGGGTTGGCGGGTTATCACGGGCATCTGCCGGGCTTGGCAGCAACTTCGGAATTGTTCTCTATCATTTCTGAAGTTTCACTTACGCACTGCTTTTCACTGCAACAGAAATAAAGATTACACACTCTAATTTGTAATACTTCAATGCCTTTGCTCAGGCATAACATTTTCTCATGCTAATTATTTTAGCAGATGTCATCTGCTTTGCTCTTCGCAAACCCGAACACCGGTTCTCCCGTTGATTACTTTTAATCTCTACCGTGTTTCGCTGCACTTTCCTGCCTGATCAGGCAATTAACCCAAAAGCAACGCGTGGACGTCGTGGTTTGGTATTTAAAGCGCAGAAGCTTTAAGGATGCTTGCCGCCGATACCGTCGAGTGCACCGTTCCAGGCCGCCGTCAAAGAGAACCATCTGGAAGTGGGTCCAGCGTTTTGGCGCAGTGGGCAACGTTGTGAACAAGAAGCACGTCTTCGCCAGCACGCCAGAGAAAGAGCAACTCGCGTACGGGATCGAGGGTGCTTTCAAAGCGGACCCGCACCTGTCCACGAAGAGAGCGGCGAGTTTGTTTAGAGTTTCAGATTACACTGTGCGCCGGATTCTTCGCTGACACAACCTGCATGCCTACAAGGTTCACGTTCTCCACGAGCTGAAGCCCGAAGACTATGAAAGATGGCTCGATTTTTGCCGCGAAGAGATCCTAAGGATCGCGGCTAACCCCTCCCATCTGGGCTTCCTTCTGTTCTCAGACGAGGCCGTCGAGGTGAAAGTCAACGCTCAGACTGCCGGTACTGGAGCAACGGCAACCCGCACTGGACAATGGAGAAGTCTCAGTACTCTCCCAAGGTAACTGTCTGGAGCGGGATCTGGAGGGAGGGTGTTGTTGGGCCTTTTTTTTTTTTCGATGAGTCTATGACGGGCAGAAGTTATCTGTGCATGTTGAAGGAGGAGTTTCTTCCCGAGCTCGAGGCCCTCCACATGCAACGACAAATTTGCGTATTCATGCTAGATAGAGCGCCCCCACACTGGTAGACCTCCGTCAGGAAATGGTTAAGTGACATCTTTCCTGGACGCTGGATGGGAAGAGACTCGCCCAGCATGCCATGGCCACCGCGATCCCCTGACCTAACAATCTGCGATTTCTTTGTATGGGGGTTCATCAAGTCACAGGTCTACACCGGCCGAATCTCCACCCTTGACATACTCAAGCAACGCATTGAGGCTGCGTTTCTGCTCATTACGGACAAAATGAGAGCTGCGGCATTCGCCGAATACGAGGCGAGACTTGGACGTTGCACCTGGCAGCTGGGAGGTCACGTTGAAGCAGAACCGTAGGACTACGGTGTTGCCTTCCAGGGCCTGCCCCTGACGCACTCCACATACTTTCATCTGGAAGCAAGAATAGCTTCCGCCATGTGCACGGTCTTTTCCAGTTTTTATTTTGCTTACCTCTGACAGATGGCCCTTTTTAGGGCTGCCAACTACGGTTGTCGGCTACTGAGCTACTGCTGCTCGGCGCTCTCCCGTGTCTCTCTCATCTGGTGTCTCCGGACCATGCAAATGGTGAACCTGGTTCTTTGACGGGGCAGCTTAATTGTCCAGCATTTAATCTAAATACCAGCAAACCAAAAGTACTGAATTCCTTTAATAATATTAATAATAATAAATTTGAACGTGTTCGAGACTCGACATAATGAGTAAACCGGGTCACAAAGTCGCTGACTTGGCATCTTCTGCCTCTCCCTTTTTTAATTTTCATTGCCAACAAAAAACAGGAAAAAAAGAAAAAATAACCAAGTATGCAAACATAAAAAACGGTACAGAAGTTAAAAAAGCAAAAATATATTGGCCCAGCTGAAGTTCATCTGGAACCGAAAGGAGGCTCCTCTGGCGGCGGAGCCCAAATATTGTAACTTTAAAAAATTTAAATAGGTTATAAACGGTTTATTGGCAGTGAGCAGACTTGGCCACTAGAGAAAGCTACCACGTCCATACCAAACTTCACATAATCTGCAGCACCAAGTGTCGAAGGTGCTACCGAACGGGAAGAATAGGTGCACCGCGGCGTTCGGGTTTGCGAAGAGCAAAGCAGACGACATCTGCTAAAATAATTAGCATGAAGAAATGTTATGCCTGAGCAAATGCACCGAAGTATCACAAATTAGAGCGTGTAATCTTTATTTCCGTTGCAGTGAAAAGCAGTGCGTAAGTAAAACTTCAGAAATGATAGAGAACAATTCCGAATTTGCCGCCAAGGCCGGCAGATGCCTGTGATAACCCGCCAACCCGCATAGGTGGTGGCGCCGATGCAACGCAAAGCGATGCAACGCAAAGCAGACAGCCTCCGTCTCCCTCTCTCCGTGGTCGGAGCCTCTCCGAAGAGATTTCTTGTTTTTTTCTTTTATCTTTTGATCCAGGTAAGCTAGTGTTCTGAAACTTTGGCATCTTGCTTGGACCGCTAGGGTTATATTCTGGCGGAGTTTGAGCGTTCTGCGATGCATAGTTTTTTTATGCGGACCGAAAAGTAGGGTTTACTTTTCTCGATCAGACCCTGTACTTTCACTGGTTCACACCAGTGTGCTAGGAGCAGCAGCCAATCAAGGAAAGCATCTAGTAGGTTAGCTTGATGGATAATATCCATTGCTTACAATCAAAAAATCAACCCCCAAGTGAAAAAAAAAACGACAAAAAAACCTTATATATGAATAAATATGGTAGTTCTCCACAAGTGTGGTGGAAGCCAATAACATGAAAACAATAACCTTATGCGAAATTGCTCGGGGTCTGACAACACTGAGAGCATCGTCATAAAGCAAACCACGGTGAAGGCATCGGAGACAACCGTATGGGCAGTATGCAATAGCGCAGCAGCTGTGCTTTCTGCCTTTCAACCATGGAATGCAGACAAACGGTTTAAACAACCCACCATAACTATCTGACGAAATTGTCAGAGCCCTGTGCACGTTAGCGACAACCTGCAGTGTGTATGCTTCCATAGCAAAGGCGTAAGACTTGCTCCACTGGCTTGACGAGGTTGCTGCCAACGTGCACAGGCCTCCGAGAGTTTCATCACACAGTCACGGTAAATTGCTAAACTGTAACCCACATTCCATTGTCAGAAGGCAGAAAACACAACTGCTGCATCATCGCACACTGCATGTACGGTTGTCTTCAATGCCTACACCGTGCTTCGGTACCAACAATGCTTGCCAAGATTAAAATGGCAATGCTCTCAGTGTTGTCAGACCACCAAGCAATTTCGCATAAAGTCTATTGTTGAGCGAGGGTTGCTTCCTGTTTCATCTATGCAGAGCGCAAGTTTGTCTCCTCCTTGCACAGGGGTTGCGGTGATGTCAGAACGCCAAGCTCTTACTGGCCGATTGAAAAAAATAGTGGGTAGATCTCAAGACATCTAGCATTAGGGTCTACCCACTATCCTTTCGATCAAGCCAATCAGAATGCGGTGTCATTCTGACGTCACCGCAACCCCTGCGCAAGAAGCAGATAACTTGCCCTCTGCATAGCTTCTCACAGAGTATTTGATACTCACTTTTCCCGAATCCTACTAGTACACAGTTTTTTTTTTTTTCTGATCAGTCTTCTAAATACATATACTGTAAAGAGACACAGCAACAGTGGGACTTTGTTTCAGTAGTCTCTCCCTACTTTGAGCATACAGCCCCTTCAAGTTACACTCGTCACATCCTTCGCCATCCACTCCTTGCATTGCTTTCTGGACGCTTCCACAGGAGGAATGATTGCTACAGTGGACATTGTCTACATGCAATGTGCCCGCTTTCTAGTGGCCTTATTGAAACTAACCTGGCGTGGATACCTAGTATAGTGCATATACCACATTCCAAAAACGGTGCAAAGAGGAATTTTGCCAGACTCTCCCTTCCAAATGCAAGAACTTTGTGGAGATCCCTCACAACGTGAGAGCAAGCCCAAAGACGACGACACTCCTCACCTTGTCGGCTGACCCTGTGGCCAGGATAAACTCGCTGTAGGGGTTGAAAGAGAGGCAGTTCACCTCTGCCGTGTGTGCATCGACGGTGTGGCTAGGCTTGTTTGTGTTGTTGGAGCGGGTGTCCCAGCTGCAAGGTGGAAAAGACCGGTACTCGGTGCCTTTCGCAACAAACATTCGAGGGTCCAGGTTAATCTGGCCACAGTGTGCTGCACTTTACTGTCACACTGCTAGGCGAACTGCGGTAGTATTACCATTGCAAATTTGAAGCACACTTACATCATCAGTTTCTGGTCATCCGCTACTGACCCAAAAAGGCTCTCGTGGAGTAGATGCCATGCCACATCCTGGAAGACACAACAGTCGGCTTAAAGCGGGAAGTTTGGGAGAAAAACAACGACGAGGAGTTCTGCTTCCCTTACTTCAACAACGGCGGTGTGTCCTGTGAAGATGGTTTTAGCGTCAACCACTTTATTCTCTTTTGGGGTAGCGTTGATGTCCCAGAGACAAATGGTCTGGAAGAGAGAAAGAAAAAACGAGCAAAGTAGTGAGCCGCGATCCACGAGATAGACTTTCAAACATTTGAGCCGCATGAGCGTAATTTCGCTGCCTTACGTGGTCATCTGAGGCACTCAAAAGGTGGCCATTGAGATTTGGATTCCAAGACAAGCCATATCTAAAAAAAGGAATGAAAGACATTTGCATAATGCGCCATCATGAATGCAAAGCTTCTGTCTTTCCTACCCAAATAAGTTGCACCTGACCTTACCCTTCCTTCTGATGACCGCGAAGTCTGAGATCGGGACTACATTCACCACTGGGGTCTGCAAGTGTGGAAACGGAAATGTGTCAAGAGACTTCCTAAAGGATTTGAAATTTCTTTGTGTCTGATCTTTCTGATGGGGCAGCAGAACACTGATGCCGCACACAGAACAATGTACAAATCCAACCCTTAATTGAAGCAATCTACACGATGTCTGCTACTGTGTTATACAAAATTGCCTGGGCGGGGAACCCCATCACCACAGCAGTGTTTAGAATGTGCTTTAATTCAATGAGTTCTCACCAGTCTCTGTACCTGCCTAAAGCTACAAGCTTACGTCAATGCCTTCCCCACGGCTCATAAAGCAACATCAAAAAATTTCAGCCTTTCCACTTTGGTGAAGAAGGAAGACCAGCAAAGCTGTACTATGGTGGGAATGAAGTAATGGCCGGCCGCAAGTCGGCAAGCCAGAGTGGAAAGGTTCGAAAGGTTGCCGCCGTCGCTTAGACGACGGCAACAACGTCTATGAGCGACGACGGCAAGTCGGCAACCACGTCTATGAGCGACATCCAGCAAGCTGGTTGTCGCCGTCGCTCATAGATGGCGGTAGCTGCCCAGAGTTCTGTGTCATAATTTGTTTGCTGACTGACAAGATCCTGGGGAAACTAGCCCCTAACAGCTCCGCTGTAAAAAAAGACAGAAAGAAGGAAGAGCAGTTCTTTCAGGGAAGGCTTACCAGGCTTTGAGGGGTGTTTGGTATAGTCGAAGATTAACACATCGCTCGAGGGGGTCTTCGTGGCGATGATGCACGGGTTTTGCGGCATAAAGCGCGCTCTGTTCACTTCCCCCTCGTGATTGATCTTGATTTCGATGTCAATCTTCCCACTGACCGACCCAAAACCACCAAACTCTGCAGAACAATGGGAAGACAGCAGGCAGTTATAAGCGGCAGCAGTTATAAGTAAAGCTTCTAAACTACACAGGTCAAACAGATTCACCAAGGTTCCAACTCTAAATTCTTTTCTTGATTACTTTAAAATTCCCCGACCAAATTGATTAAAGATGTCTAGATTCGTGATAATGCAATGAGACTCGCATGATATGTCAAGTGTGCATGTTTAAGATTGAGGTGGCATTCGAGGCCACCAAGCTTTTGCAAATAGGCTCATTTAATTTCCTGAAACCACCAGTATTAAAAAGTGCAGCCTTGATGTAGGGTGGTGCACGTCGGAATATGTTACGAATAAATCAAATGAAGCAGTGCACGCTGGTTCTACCCTGATGCAGAAAATGTAGCGCCACTGAATTCGACCCCCTTACCTCAACTAAATTTAAATTTTTTTTGCTCTAAGACGAGTATATATTTCATCACGATCAGCTACCCAAACTACTTTTTGCATAATTATTGCTAATAAGTCCGAATTCAAATTATTTGTGACAGTGGCTAATGCACTAAAGAAACCAGAGTTTTAAAGCAGACCAGATGCCGAGATTGCTTACCTCCTTTCTCGCTATCGTAGTGAGTTGCATCAAACTGAGCATCCTCACTTGGCAATTGTACGCTTGCTATGAGCAGGTGGTTCTGTTCATCAGATCTGCAAGACAAGCAAGTGTCATCAGGCTCCTCTTTGAACCCGCAGCACTGTCCAGAAGCCACATTCCCGCAAACTAAGGTTGAAAAACTGAACCAGCACTTACGTGTGTGTCCCCAAAATCAACCTGTGAATGCTGTAGTCCCTTCCTTCAGGACTGGAAAAAAAGTTTTGTTTGTAATCGTTAGACGAGTATTGTAGAATCAGTAATAATTACAAACTAGCGTGTTATTGAATGACTTGATATGATTACTTGAAAGAACAAAACATTGAGGACGAGGACGGAAACAGGACTTCTTTCATTGAGCAACAGAACATAGAATGGCACAAACCATAAAACCACCCTCCAAAGGTCTCGGCGTTCTCGAAGAAGTAAAGGAGAGAGTTGTTAAAAGGAAGGGGAATTTCCTATAAATATGAAAGTACAAAAAGCGCTGGCGTCACGACTATCAATCTACTTATCTCTGGTGCAAAAAATTCAACCTTTGTCATTGTGAATGATAATGCAGAAATGACAGTCCCAAAGGGAAATGTACTATAAATATAAAAGTTTAAAAAGCACTAGCGTCACGATGAGGAGTCAGTAATCTAGTCATTTCTGGTCTTAAAAATTCAACCTCTGTATTTGTCAGTGACATGGAAGGCGAGGAAATGTTGACAACCCCAATGAACAATGATTTCTCTCCCAAATCTATTGTTGTGCCTGTCGAGTATTCTAGTATCAGAGAAATTAGGAGTGCCGTCATCCAACGTGCGGCTGTGGAACGACGATTGGGTGAAAAGACTCAATCAATTCACCCAATCGTTGTTCACAGATGCACGTGGCATGACTGGAATACTGGGCAGGCACAACAACAGATTTGGGAAAGAAATCATTCAGACATTTGCCAGGGGGACTGTAAAGCAATAGCATTTCCTCACCTTCATTATCACTGACAAATGTCAAATTCCTAAGACTAGAAATGACTAGATTACTGACTGCTCCTCGTGACGCTAGTGCTTTTTAAACTTTTATATTTATAGTACATTTCCCTTTGGGACTGTCAACAACATTTCTGCGTTATCATTGACAATGACAAAGGTCGAATTCCTTGCACCAAAGATAAGTAGATTCTTGATACCTGGTCCTGACGCCAGCGCTTTTTATACTTTCATATTTATAGTAAATTATCTTTCCTTTTAACAATTTTCTCCTTTCCTTCTTCGAAAACGTTGAAACCTTTGGGGTGCAAATTTATGCTTTCTGCCATTCTAGGTTCTCTTGCTCAATGAAAGAAGACCCGTTTCCGTCCTCAATGTTTTATCCTTTCAAGTACTCATACCGTGTAGAAATCCTATCACCAGGAAGACTTCCATGCCTGGTCAGAGCAAGCTTTAATATTCCTCAATAATACAACAAAACCTCAGCACAGCTGGGCATTTCAAGAACATCTGTATCTGAATCAGACAGAAATTTCAGTTTCTTCAACAGACGTGCATTAAAGCATATTCAAGTGTTCTTGGACTCAAATTCATACAGAGTTGGGGCCTGTGTGAGCTTCTTTCATTCTTGTGCCAAGCATTCGCATGGAACCACATGCACTTCAAAGCCACGATTCTGTGCACTAGCGGCTTCATTCCTGCAATGCATTTGTTGCAATTGCTCCGGATTCACAGAAATGAAGTCCCCATGAAAACACTGCTCGTGTACAGCACATAACAAGCATGTGGATGCATCAACTCACCGAGTCACGTCTGGGAGCCACTGGGCTGTGAGGCTGGGCCACTCCAGAGCGTGGGTCATGACGAGGTCATAGAGAAAAGGAGTGTTCTTCTTCCATATCTTGTACTCCTCATTGATCACTCTCTCTTCAACTGCAAAGGTGCGAGGCATGGTACAAAGTCAAGCACAACCGATTTACAAGTACAGACTGCTTGTAACCACCATTATCATAATCACAAAAAAAAAAAAAAGAGGGGAGGAAACAGGTTTTTTTTTCCTTCCACCAGTTTCCCCAATGTCACTTCTAGGATATTGGAGGCATTGGCCTCCTGCCATGTTCCTAAAGGGGCACAGACACCCCAAAGGTTGTATTTTTTTGTCGTTGTCTAAAACAATGCAAGTTGGAGTCATAGACACGAAAAAATAGCACCAACGCGAAAAACAACTTTCCCACTCGCACGCACACCTTTTATTTTTGGCGTTTTTCTCTTCCTCTTTTGACCTCCTCCCCTTTTTTCGTGAAATAAAAAATCATGAAATTTAGAAGCTTTGTAAACGTCATTTTTATATTTAATAACGCCATTCGTAAAACGCTTTTTAATGCAATTGCGAATGCACTACAAACAAAGTTATCTTTTTTAGGCGCCCGACGACCCCTCAAACTTCGAAAAGGGAATCGCTAAGCTGTCAAAACAACTGGGTTTGGTGTCAGGCATGGACAAGAGCCTGATCACCGCGGTCATGGGTGAACACAACACTTCGGGTCTGGACGGTTCAGTTCGGAGACATTAAAGAAACTTGAGTTGCAGGACAACTCACCTAGCGTGGATCGAAAGGGATCTTCAAATTCGACCTTGGGAAATTGTTTTTTTCTTTTTTTTTTTTTTACTTAAAAAAATGCAGAGTTGCCAAATTCCACATTTTGAGGGTAATGTCCAAGCATAGTTTTCAATTGTTTCGGAGAATAAAAAACATGATTTTGACCTGTCAGTGTCCCTTCAAGGCTGATTCAATAATTTCCATTTAAATGTGAACGACTGTGTTATAACTCCTTGCGTTCCACTACGACACATTGCACGGACCTGTTCCAAAAGCAACAATATAGCTGTAAATGGTCAAAATACGGTCTGTCACCCTCCAAACAAAGTGCACAGACTACTGTTCTCCACAGACTGGGACCGTTAGATCCACAGGATTGCTAGATCATGGGTGGAAATAGTTCCATAAGTCCAAGCCATCACCTGTCCGCCATTGCCGGATCACACACTCCGAGCATCTATTGGACAGGAGGGCTGCGTCTCAGATCGCATTGAAAACAATTGATGAGTCAGCAATCGGTAAGGACTCAGATCCAATGCATCGAAAAAGAGTGATGAGTCAGCGTTCAGTGAGGACTCGGATCCAATCATGCGCTTTATGGCTATGGATGGATGGATGCTAACGGTTGTAGCCTTTTTTAACGGGTGGTAGCTTGCGCCACCTAGCCTAGAAATTAAGATCAAAAATATAATTCCTCTCTTTGCCCTTCTAAGCTAATTTGCTTCTCCTTTAGAATTTTGTAACTATCACAAAGCGGTGTTGCATCTCACCAGGATGACCTTTGGGGGATCGGGCAAAGAAACTAAAAACACCACTCCCCCACCCCCCACCTCTTACCCCCAGCAAGGAAGGCACCAATTTTCCTCTGGTCAAACCTAGTCGGCATTAGCACCGGGACCACTGGAAGACAGGGTTAAAGGGGCACTGACACATCAAAATCATATAATTGTTTATTATCCGAAACAATGAAAAACAATGCCGGGACGTTAACCTCAAAATTCGAAACTTGGGAATTCAGTATTTGTGAAGTAAAAAAACAATTTCCAAATGCCGAATTTGAAGTTCCCCGCGCGATCCGCGCCAGTGCACCGACGTCAAATTTTGCAGTCTCCTGCGAATCAACTCTCTCTCGGACCTCCGCTACACGCTACAAAGCAAAGTGCCATTGTTACCGCGACCCGAAGTGCCGGCGGACCCACCAAGAAAAAAAACTATTTCTCCACCCGACTCACCGATCATCCTCTGCTCGAGCGCAGCCCAGTTTCCCGAGGGAGGATACAAATCCAGGAAGCAACATCACACCGGACTCCGATTTTTAGT